ATAAGGAGCCTGTATGAAATCGCAGCATGTCTGTCCTTTCTGAAAGTCTTCAGGAAAGAGCAGCAGAAAGCAGCCGGAGCCAACCRGCTGTGCATCCGACACGCACAGGACCTATTCCTTCGCTAGTCGTTCCTCTGCTCTTCGTTGTGTTCAAGAGGGCCTCTGTAGGAAGCAATCTAGTTCTGCTCCTCTCTTCAGTGGGATTTTGCTACAGCAAAAACAGCTCAAGGACAGAGGCAGGGCATGGTTTGCACAGAGATATGACCATTTTTATGGTCAGGCTTTCAGAAATGCAAATCCTTCTWGAGCTACTTGTACGCACAAAAGCTCATCTTACTTTTCCTGTTATTCTAGCTTGCTTTAGAGAAAGATACTCCTTCGACCTCCCAACTTTGTCCTGCCTTGCCTGTGCAGTAAAGCAAAGCAAGAAAAATATTACATGAAAAATATTTCTTAAGCCTTCTCCTCTAAAAATTCTTCCAGAAATGCTTGAACAAAGTGATTGCGGCCAAGATTCATTTCCTGACCTCTGTGGATTTGGTTGTTTTTGTTTTCCTTCTAGTCAGGAATAAAAATTACACTTAAGAAAGATTCAAACATTCAAACAGTTAAAACAGGTATCAAAGTCAAAAAAAAAGAAAGGTTTTTCTGCCCTTTTTTGATTGTTTGTCTGAAGTTCTCTTATGCAAGCAATTGACTTGTGCAAAGATTTTGCCACACTTGCTTGGAACTTTCACAGACATCCCCAGAGAGGAAGAGGGAATGAAGGGCAAATTAAAAAAAAAAAAAAAAAAAACCATAACCAACTTCCACTCCGAAATAAAACAAAGCCCCCAGCTGTCCAGAGGCTACCCTAGCAAACACAGCACAAGAAGCATTTATCAATATTGTAAAGTCAGTGCTCCTCTGAAAAACCAGTATCTAAAAATGAATGCATTTGATAGCCCAGCTGAGACATGTTTATGCCCTTATCTGCTTCTAACCTCAGGGTAAACAAAATAGGCATTTTTTTCCAGCTAATTATAGTAATTCATTAAAGACACTCTAAAAATGTCAAAGATAAGTAAATGAGCAATTTATTTTATGCATACATTAGTGAGCATGTCTAGCATTTCTTACCGAGTATTCAGCATGTTAGTGAATATGCTGCACCAGCATTTGCATATTCTTGCATTACTATTTATTATTTCGGTTCACTAATTAGCAGGCTGAATTTTTAGTATTTCAAAATTGTTGTATTAGTTACCACAATGAAAAGAACGCACACATGAAAAACACGTTGTTGAAAATAGATAATAACTTAAGAAACATTAAGTGCCATAAAAAAACAACTTTGCATTTTAACAACTTGACCCAGCGGAACACATTAAAGCATGGCAGCACCAACTTGTTTTGATTTGCAGACATCCGGTATTTTTTTCCTTCAGAAGGGAAGTTCCTCATACCGCAAATTGAAGCTTAGCCAGGATAAGTTCCCCTCACTTTAATCATCTTTCACACATCTCCCTGGAAATAGGCTAGAGATCTCAGGACGGACCAGAAGCTAAAAACACAGGTGTCTTCATGCTGCTGTAAAAGGAATTCTGCCTGAAATGCTTCAGAGCTAACAGTCACACTGGGTTAAACCCTAGCCTTGCTGAAGCTAATAGGCATTCTGCATTTAAATTTTTGTAAATGAAATAAATCAGAGACATGAAAGGACTGTGCTCAAGCACTTTTCTACCACACTCCCCAGTGCAGTCAAGTGAAGCCAAGTTAAGTCAACATCAAAATGCCCARGTTTCGCTCTCTGTTTCTGCCCAGGATTACAAGTGCAGGGAAGGAGAGGGTATTTTAGGCCACTACATTACAGCTCTTTGGCTGCCAATTCCCATATTCTAGCACGTCTCCCTGCCTTTTATAATTCCTGCTGACCTTGAACAAGAAATCCCTTGCAGAGCAGCCTCCCTGGCACGTTCCCCCCAAAGCCCAAGAGACCCACGTGCCCCCGTGCCTGGCCACAGTGGCAGCGGCTCACACCGGTGCTGGCCACTGGGCAACCTCCTGGAGGGGCAGCGGGCAGAGAGAGAAGGAGGTTCCTCTGCCAGGCAAAGCAGCCACAGCCACCCGGCACGTTGCTCCCTCCTTTCAGATCACAGTTGCTTCTGCCTTTGGTCCCTGGCTGCTTACATTTTCCTTTTAGGATCTTGTAAAAAATGATCAGGACAGTAACACATTATCCCAAGATAACACAAGCTCTCTTACAAAAATGCAGCATTTCCACCTCTTGTCACAGAATAAGTGGAACGTGCTCACCTCCATCTCCACAGCTTTCCTTAGGAACTACAACAGCACCACCGTGCCCATTCCAGAAAGGCAGCCGCCCCTTTGCAGGTGCCAGCTGGTACGGCCAAGCCTGAAGGAACCGCCACAACAGAGGCCCGGGTTGCAGTGCCCAACGTGGACRGCAGTCACTCTGCAGGGATCCCCACTCAAGGGGCTCTGGCAAGCTAAGGACCTCCTGGCATGGCCAGGAAGAAGAGCCAGGCACCAAAACACGTTGGTGAAGCTTCAACACCCATAAAAGCATTGCAGTATACAGTGCAAGCATCCACCTGCACCAGGTGCTTAATAGGAACGTCACGTTCTTGCCCAAAGCCTTGTTACCTTGCCCAGATTTCTGCCCTAAAACTGAAACACCAGGTACGACTCTGCCCACAACATATTGCTAATTATATCCCAAATGAAAAGCATAGCTTTTGTATTTTCCCCTTTCCACTTTGTTCATTAGAGCAATTCACACTACGTAGCTAACTGCATGCTAGTGTTAAAGCAGCAATGTATGTGAGAAAAGCAATAAACTTGACTTGTGGCATTAGCTGYATCCTAGAGAGAATATACAGGGTTATGAACCACCGTTTCTGGGCGTAAAACACCACTACACTACCCAAGCACTCGTCAATGAAACATCCAGGCTTTTAGTTTTAAGTCAGTCGCACCCCTTTGAGGCCGCTCTGAACAAATGTAGCTCTAATCAGCRCAGAGGGCAGGACCCGCTTGCAAAATTAACATCTTTCCCATTGCGCAAGATGGCAGGTAGAAAACACAGGGCAGCGTTGGCTTGGTTTTTTAAAACAAGAAGGGGAAAACAAAGTATTTTTCTTATGGATACATTAGGTAGTTGTGCTGTTCAACAATTTGGTCTATTTCTTAAAAAAAACTTTCAACAAATAGATTTAGAAAGAAAGGTGTTTTCTAAGAAAAAAATTACTCTCCCATTCAGCTACATGCCTTTAGCAAATAAAACAGTCTTGTGACACAGTTCTATCCTACCAAAAGCAGCAGGATTCTCCTTTGAAAGGAGAGCACAAGATTCAGTAGAGGCCTGGCAAACAGCATTGCACAGACCATCACCTTGTGTGCACCGACTTTCATTTACTCCAGGGCTCAAGGAACTGGGACAGTGGGAAAACCCGATCACAGTCAGAGCTGCCTTGCAGAAGGCTGGGTGCCCTCAGACACGTTTTTTTATTCCTTGCACGTCTGACAGCAGCACAGCAGCTCTGTAACCCCATGCAGAGATGTGAATTCATAGCATTTGCCCATTTCCCACAACCAGGAAAATTATTTACTCAACCACAACTCTCTTCACTAACAGCTGCTCGACCCAGCACGTATTAAGAACAGCAGCTGCCAAAATGTTGCACRGAATACTGCCATTTCATTTGGCGCCTGTAACTATTAGGGGAAGGGGCTGCGCTAAGAGCGCCGCCGCACAGTCCCCAAAGCAACGTCGCAGAGCCCCAGCAACAACCTCCTGCAGCTGGGGCAGCCGAGGAGGAGCAGGAGGCGCCCAGACCCCAGGGGTGGCGGGGACAGCGGCCCCTTCCTCGCTCGCGGGGCACAGGCTCCCCCCCGGTCGCCCCTCTCCAGGCCTGCCCCGCAGCAGGGCCGCACGAGCCCAAGGGCAGCACCTGCTCTCCCATTTCCCCGACACGCGCCCAGATTCACAAACCAGGTAACGACAAAAGTGAGAAGAAATAATAAAAGGTGAAGGAGCAAGCACTGTACCTCGCTTGAAAAATACAAAGGGTTATTTGCAATTGAAARTGATACTGACAATTAAAGATCCAGAATCCTAGATTCAAACACCACTCTTCCTTTTGGAAAAAAAATGGCTACARTTTTTGGACTGAGTTCTATACAAATATATTTAAAACCTCTCTCGCCAACATTCACTAAACAGAACTTACACTACCCCCATGCTCTTGCGYACAGATAGCACCGAAGCACTTAATTTTGAGTCTAATATTTTTAATAGGATTGCCATTGATGTTAACAACAGGACCAGAAGCCATCACGCCTTGGATAGTGCTTATGCCAAAAGGACAACATATGAGTCAAATAAGCARTGCAAAAAGATAAGAAAAACAGCGTTCATCAACTTCAGTACGTATTCCATCCTTCCACTCACTAGTCTAAGACTAAAGCTTTGATTTGGAAAAATGCTTTTCAATGAGCCCATCCAAATGTGGCCTAACTACAGAGCAGATTTAACAGTAAGGAACAAAGCTCCTAACACCTGCTCATGATATTCTATATGCTACAGGACATCATCTATACTTTCCAGGAAGTTATCACAGCAAGAAATGCATGAGTGCTCCCCGAGTCTTCCAAGCCACACTTACATACCACATAAGCCCTTGTTGATGCCCATGTATGTGTTTATTGAATGTGCCTGGAAACTGGGAGGTACTGAAAAATAAAGGAAAAATAAACAAACTCAAACCAAACCCAGATCCACTTCTAGAGAACCTTGCACCATTTKCTCCCTGCCACAAACCTCTCACTTCAACTCTAGTGAAGACTCCAACAGACTCCGAACACATTCAGCTTAGGCCTGAGCCTCCTCTATACCATCCYATCAACTTCCAAGCAGAAACACTACAGAAATGTTATTGCTAACATTTCGAAAGCTGCCTTCAGAGTCGACCTTTAACTGTAACACACAGGTTGCTTACCTCACTGTTGTGGCCCCTCAGATTGAAGTTGATCCGCTGAGGGGTGTTCCGGTCTCTCCTGCAATGGCTGGAGGTAAAAGTGACGCCTACAACTCCTCTGCCATTGCCTGTTGCCAACCAGCCTTCCTCGTAGTACCGCCTCCGGCACACCGGTTTCTCCTTCTCGCTTTTGGGGACTCTCCCTTTCCAGGAGAGGCAGAGGATGTTGGAATCGCTGCAAAGAACAGGCCCATGTTCCACTGCTGCATACATGCTTTTTAAATATTTTATTTTTGGACATAAGAAAGTAATGTCTAGTGCACAAAAGTTAAATCAATTCTTTTATTGATAAGACTGACCTGGGATAGATCATTGAAAGGGAGGAGGATGGGGTCAGTGTTTATAAATATCCACCAAATGCATAGTGAAAAATTCCTCTATAAAAGATGATGGCAGTTGGCTAAGAAAAAAGTAACACTTAAAAAAAAAACTCAGGTTCATTTTTGTTGTTGAGTCCATAGAGTGAGGGTGCACGTATCCTTTGGAGAAACAGCTACTTCGTAAGAGGCGCTCAAGAAATGGTTAAGTCATCTTTTTGCTCAACTTGATATAATCTTTATACAGCCTGAGATTCCAGTTTAGCGTAATGCAATTCCAGAGACAGAGAGTTGCAAATGTGTAGGTTTCAAGTAACTTAAGGCTTTTAAGATTTCCTCCAGTCAGATTTTCTTCAAAGAGTTCAGTTGCAGAAACTTAGACACACGCACATACATATATATGTTTATACATGACATTCATCTTTTCCAAGCTGCCCTCTGGCATGCCTTTTCCATCTGATGTATTTCTGCTGCTAAAGCTGAAAGAGATTGCATAAAGGGGAAAAAAAGGCACACAGACCGTGTGGAACAACAGCCCCGACCAGGGGCAGACACTGCTGTGCCAGGCCAGGTGGGAAATCCCTCTGCGTACTGAACCACTTGCTGGATTCAACAGGTTTTGCAATCCAAAGCCAATCCAACTGTCATTGCAGAGATTTTTTTTCCACCAGAGACATAAGCCCGAGCTGTTTATCGTGCTAGCTTGCCTGCTTTCCCACTTTTTGCTGCCACACTCAAAGGAAAAAGAAACCCCCTCTTCATTCAGCAGAATCAAAAATGCTCTCCAGCTTTTAGCTTTCAAAGCAGGTAAGTTTGCCTCGGGCGAACCGTGAAGATTGTTTCCTCCAGAACAGACTAGAAGTCAAGCTGATTTTCTTTTACTTTTCCCTTTTTTTTTCCTGCTACAAAGAATCACAGATTTTTCATCCTATAGCAAAAACAAATGCCAGAATTAAAGCACATCAAGTAAGCACTCTTTCAGAATCTTCTAAAATTCACAAAAGGAAGAAATATAATCTAAAAAAGAAAAAGAAACAGCATTAAAAATCTGGCTTCCAGGTTGCACTATTTCTCTAGATATTTTCCTTGCTTGTTTGAGTGGATCTTTCCTTCTTGATGCTTGTCTACAGCACAGATTCATAGTTCCAGACACAACATTTGCAGCTGTACAAGAAGGAAACATATGAAGTACTCCAATCGTTTTATTTGAGTAACATTTATGAGCTCAATTAATTAGTATTTATACCACAGTAAGTCAAAGGGAAAAAAGGAGAGGGAAAAAGAATATGCAAGTTTGATGACCTGGCTAACTCAAGAAGGACAACGAGGTTTGCTCAGTTCAATGTCCAGAGTTGTCCCATAGTTCCTGAACTTACTTACTTACAGTCATCACTACTCAACATGTGGTTCACAATTTAGTTTGGTCACAGTCTATTGAGCCCAATGGAGCATGTACCAAAGATCAATCATTATTCCTCTGCAATAAGAATCACTTTCTTTTACACTCTGTCTTCTTTCAGCTCCTTCGTAATTTTTGATTTTGACTGGGGAGGTATTTATTGTTTTTTCTTGTATGCAGAGGGTGTTTTTTCTTCCTCTTCTTGCACACCTTTTTCACCCGTGAACACCATGTGGAAAGTTGAGCACTAGTGGCAGGTGTCCTTCCATGAGTTACTGATTCCTGTGCCGTAAACGTGCTCCATCTGGTTCTTAAATTAATTTTCATCAATCGCAAAGCTCTCAGGAATACTGAAGAATAAGTCTACGTGATGACAGAAATGTGTCAATATTCATGTACATGCAGTACACACACAAGCTCACTCGATCTGATACTCAGAGCTGCATCTGCCTCTTCAGCTTCGCTGTAGAGATCTTGTAAGATGCCCGTCATTCAGAACTTGAAATCCCTGGATTCTTCCAACTCTGCAAGACAAAGCCCACAAACACAAAAGAAGTGAAAAAAAATGCCACAAAACAACTTAGGCAGAGCTACAGGGATTCTTCTGACAGTAACTGAATAATTACAATTAAGTATTTTATACWGATCTCCCATATCTGTAATATATATGTGCAATATTCATATAAACATTTTTTTTGCATGCACATACACCCATACAAACAAAAAAAACCACGAACTACAAGATATTCTTTCCTCTTGCAAGTTTACAAAGCTTTTCCACATGGGATATGCAAAATTTACCTAGGAAGGACAAATTAGGATTTTTTTTTTTTTTTTATTCCCCCCTCAATCCACAAGCCCGGGGGACAAATTCTCACAGGAAGACTGCCCACCCTTTTGAAGTGAGGCCAGGGAAGGGAGATGCCAGTCATAGAGCAGATGCACAGCTAGACACCAAGAGACACAAATTATCAAGTACAGSGCTAAACTTATCAGCCTCAAAAGAATAAAGGAGTGAAATCCCTTTTCCCTATCCCTGGGAAAGTGATG